AATAAACCAAACCAATCTAAACCAAAGAATACATATTCTATTCATACGAACTTATTCTAAAAATCTTGTCGGCATTAAATAACTTATTGAGGTTGATATGCCATAAAACAAAATAAACCAAACCAATCTAAACCAAAGAATACATATTCTATTCATACGAACTTATCCTAAAAATCTTGTCGGCATTAAATAACTTATTGAGGTTGATATGCCGTAAAACAAAATAAACCAAACCAATCTAAACCAAAGAATACATATTCTATTCATACGAATCTATTCTAAAAATCTTGTCGGCATTAAATAACTTATTGAGGTTGATATGCCGTAAAACAAAATAAACCAAACCAATCTAAACCAAAGAATGCATATTCTATTCATACGAACTTATTCTAAAAATCTTGTCGGCATTAAATAACTTATTGAGGTTGATATGCCATAAAACAAAAATAAACCAAACCAATCTAAACCAAAGAATACATATTCTATTCATACGAATTATTCTAAAAAATCTTGTCGGCATTAAATAACCCATTGAGGTTGATATGCCGTAAAACAAAATAAACCAAACCAATCTAAACCAAAGAATACATATTCTATTCATACGAATCTATTCTAAAAATGTTGTCGGCATTAAATAACTTATTGAGGTTGATATGCCATAAAAACAAAATAAACCAAACCAATCTAAACCAAAGAATACATATTCTATTCATACGAACTTATTCTAAAAATGTTGTCGGCATTAAATAACCCATTGAGGTTGATATGCCAAAAAAAACAAAATAAACCAAACCAATCTAAACTTATTAAAAAGAATACATATTCTATTCAAACGAACTTATCCTAAAAAATGTTGTCGGCATTAAATAACCCATTGAGGTTGATATGCCGTAAAAAAAAATAAACCAAACCAATCTAAACCAAAGAATACATATTCTATTCATACGAATCTATTCTAAAAATATTGTCGGCATTAAATAACCCATTGAGGTTGATATGCCATAAAACAAAATAAACCAAACCAATCTAAACCAAAGAAAAAATATTCTATTCAATGAATCTATTCTAAAATTCATTAAAAACATTGAGGTTGATATGCCGTAAAACAAAATAAACCAAACCAATCTAAACCAAAGAATACATATTCTATTCATACGAATTTATTCTATAAAAATCTTGTCGGCATTAAATAACTTATTGAGGTTGATATGCCGTAAAAACAAAATAAACCAAACCAATCTAAACCAAAGAATGCATATTCTATTCATACGAACTTATTCTAAAAAATATTGTCGGCATTAAATAACCCATTGAGGTTGATATGCCATAAAACAAAATAAACCAAACCAATCTAAACCAAAGAATACATATTCTATTCATACGAACTTATTCTAAAAATCTTGTCGGCATTAAATAACTTATTGAGGTTGATATGCCATAAAACAAAATAAACCAAACCAATCTAAACCAAAGAATACATATTCTATTCATACGAACTTATTCTAAAAATCTTGTCGGCATTAAATAACTTATTGAGGTTGATATGCCGTAAAAACAAAATAAACCAAACCAATCTAAACCAAAGAATGCATATTCTATTCATACGAATTATTCTAAAAATCTTGTCGGCATTAAATAACTTATTGAGGTTGATATGCCATAAAACAAAATAAACCAAACCAATCTAAACCAAAGAATGCATATTCTATTCATACGAACTTATTAAAAAAATCTTGTCGGCATTAAATAACCTTATTGAGGTTGATATGCCATAAAACAAAATAAACCAAACCAATCTAAACCAAAGAATACATATTCTATTCATACGAACTTATTCTAAAAATCTTGTCGGCATTAAATAACTTATTGAGGTTGATATGCCATAAAACAAAATAAACCAAACCAATCTAAACCAAAGAATGCATATTCTATTCATACGAACTTATTCTAAAAATCTTGTCGGCATTAAATAACTTATTGAGGTTGATATGCCATAAACAAAAATAAACCAAACCAATCTAAACCAAAGAATGCATATTCTATTCATACGAACTTATTCTAAAAATCTTGTCGGCATTAAATAACTTATTGAGGTTGATATGCCATAAAACAAAATAAACCAAACCAATCTAAACTAAAGAATACATATTCTATTCATACGAACTTATTCTAAAAATCTTGTCGGCATTAAATAACTTATTGAGGTTGATATGCCATAAAACAAAATAAACCAAACCAATCTAAACCAAAGAATGCATATTCTATTCATACGAACTTATTCTAAAAATGTTGTCGGCATTAAATAACTTATTGAAGTTGATATGCCATAAAACAAAATAAACCAAACCAATCTAAACCAAAAATAATATTCTATTCATACGAAAATTCTAAAAAATGTTGTCGGCATTAAAAACTTATTGAGGTTGATATGCCTTAAAACAAAATAAACCAAATATTTAATTCATATTCTATTCATACGAATTCTAAAAATCTTGTCGGCATTAAATAACTTATTGAGGTTGATATGCCATAAAACAAAATAAACCAAACCAATCTAAACCAAAGAATGCATATTCTATTCATATGAACTTATTCTAAAAATGTTGTCGGCATTAAATAACTTATTGAGGTTGATATGCCATAAAACAAAATAAACCAAACCAATCTAAACAAAAAAGAATGCATATTCTATTCATACGAACTTATTCTAAAAGAAAATGATTGTTTACAAAGAATGCATATTCTATTCATACGAACTTATTCTAAAAATCTTGTCGGCATTAAATAACTTATTGAGGTTGATATGCCATAAACAAAAAACAAACCAATCTAAACCAAAGAAAACTATTCATGAACTTATTCTAAAAACCATTAAATAAATTTAGAACCAAAATAAAACCAAACCATTTCTATTCATACGAATCTACGAACTATTCTAAAAAATCTTGTCAGCATTAAATAACTTATTGAGGTTGATATGCCATAAAACAAAATAAACCAAACCAATCTAAACCAAAGATTTTCTATTCATACGAATCTATTAAAAAAATCTTGTCGGCATTAAATAAATTGAGGTTGATTTAAAAAAAAATCTAAACCTCACATACGAACTTATTGAAACCTGATCCTAAAACAAAATAAACCAAACTGATTTAAACCAAAGAATACATATTTTATTCATACGAACTTATTCTAAAAATCTTGTCGGCATTAAATAACTTATTGAGGTTGATATGCCATAAAACAAAATAAACCAAACCAATTTAAACCAAAGAATACATTTTCTATTCATACGAATCTATTCTAAAATGTTGTCAGCATTAAATAACTTATTGAGGTAGATATGCCATAAAACAAAAAAATAAACCTAAACCAAAGACTCTCGTCAAAAAAAATCTTTACAAAAATAACCTCAGTGAAACCATAAATCTAGAAACCAAATTTCTAAACAAAGAATACATATTTTATTCATACGAACTTATTCTAAAAATCTTGTCGGCATTAAATAACTTATTGAGGTTGATATGCCATAAAACAAAATAAACCAAACCAATTTAAACCAAAGAATACATTTTCTATTCATACGAATCTATTCTAAAAATGTTGTCAGCATTAAATATCCCATTGAAGTAGATATGCCATAAAACAAAATAAACCAACCAACTCTCGTTAAAAAAAACCTTTAAAAAAAAATACCCTCAGTGAAACCTGATCTAGAAACTGATTTACGAACTTACAAAAATACATATTTTATTCAAAATAAACCAAACCAATTAAAACAAAGAAACATATTTATTCTAAAAATCTTGTCGGCATTAAATAACTTATTGATATGCCCATAAAACAAAATAAACCAAACCAATATAAACCAAAACAAAATAAACCAAACTAAAAAATTATTGAGGTTGATATGCCACAAAAAACAAAATAAACCAAACCAATCTAAACCAAAGAATACATTTTCTATTCATACGAATCTATTCTAAAAATGTTGTCAGCATTAAATAACCCATTGAGGTAGATATGCCATAAAACAAAATAAACCAAACCAGACTCTCGTTAAAAAAAAACCTTTAAAAAAAATATTCAGTGAAACCTGATCTAGAAACTGATTTCTTACAAAGAATACATATTTTATTCATACGAACTTATTCTAAAAATCTTGTCGGCATTAAATAACTTATTGAGGTTGATATGCCATAAAACAAAATAAACCAAACCAATTTAAACCAAAGAATACATTTTTATTCATACGAATCTATTCTAAAAATGTTGTCAGCATTAAATAACCCATTGAAGTAGATATGCCATAAAACAAAATAAACTAAACCAAAGAATGCATCTCGTTAAAAAAAACCTTTACAAAAAATACCTCAGTGAAACTTATTGAGGTTCTAGAAACTAAACCATTTCAATCTAAACCAAAAAATACATATTTTATTCATACGAACTTATTCTAAAAATCTTGTCGGCATTAAATAACTTATTGAGGTTGATATGCCATAAAACAAAATAAACCAAACCAAACTAAATAAAGACAACTTCATTTCTTGTCTCATTTTTCATGTATATTTAAAGTTAGAGAATTTTATCAACTCGTAGCTTACAAACTTTATCAATTCGTTCTTCTGGGGGATCATAGAAGGTGGATCAGATATTTAAGTAATATCGATTGATTTTTGTTTGATTGTTGTTTCCTTTTTCAGAAAACATTACTGCTTCTTCTTCTTCTTCGATTGCAAGGTATATTAATGTCGAATTTAAATCAAAGATGTCGACGAAACAAAAAAGACTTTTGTGCTGTTCGAGACATGACTCTGAAATCAATGTCGAAAGCTTAAATTTAGAAAATGCAAAACGCACGTCTGACAAAAATACAAAAGAAAAATGCAGAATACGAAAGAAAAAAAAAGAAATTCGTGGGTGGGCAGCAGAATACGCCCAATTAGACACCCCCACCCACAAAGAAAAAGTAGGAAACATTAAACGAAATAGAATAAATGCTACTTCCTCGTATGTGGGTGAGTATTTGTCTGTGCATTTGTCTGCTACTGGATATCAATGACTGTCTGATTTTCTATCTCGCTTTGTTTAGTTCTCTATGACTTTCTGGGTTGAGGATTTATCATTATTTACATTATTTACACGCGGACTAATTTCCTCATCTTTGTTGTTGTTATCACAACGTTTCGGCTATTGCGCCCTTTGTCCTTCATCAGGTGTATATCGATCCGGCTATCCCACAGGAAATTTAAAAGTGAACCCTTTATTAAATTTGCGGCTGGAGATTGTCCTTGCCCAATTTTAATTTTTTCACATTATTTTATCAACCTATATAAAAATGCACTATTGTTTTTGTTGTTTGTTTTTTTTTTTTTTTACATATATTTTCTCCAATTTTTATATATACAAGTATCCTGTTTCCAGTTCGCCTATGTTTGCGAGAACAATAAACAAATCGCAAGGCCAAAAGCTCCAAAAAATTAAGAATTTGGCTGTAGAAAGAAATATATACTCACGGCCAGTTGTATGCTGCATGCTCCAGCGTTAGAAATTTTAAGAAATGATTCTTCGCACTTAAAAAGGGAAAAAGAAAAAATCATTTCTTAAAAATATTGTTTACCATGAAGTACACTTGATTTTCATTGATTGTTTAGAGAAACTAATAAAAAATTATTACTTAACATACAAAATCCATCCACTATTTAAAAACATGATTAAAATGACAAATACTTATTTAATAAAAATGCATTAGTGTTTTTTGCATGTCTTTTCTTCAATTTTTATATATACAAGTATCCAGTTTTTCAGTTCGCCCCGGGTTTGCGAGAAGTATAAACAAATCACAAGGCCAAACGCTTCAAAAAATTGGGAATTTGGCTCCAGAAATAAATATTTACTCATGGCCAGTTGCATGTTGCATGCTCAAGAGTAAGAAATCCTAAGAATTTATTCTTCGCTGTTAAAATTTTTTTTTTTTAAATATTGTTTACCATGGAGTCCTATAAAATTAAATTAAAAAATTATTAATCTGCAAAACAGGGTTTTTGTTAAAGTACTTTAACAAACAAATCAGCTTATTCAAAATTCATCGATTGGTTTGTGAATATTGATCGAAACATAGAGTTTGTAAATCTCGACAAAAATGTTTACGATAAATTCAACAATAGTAAATACTGTAAGAATTTCAACGCGTGTGAGGGCGTTGCAAAAAGATTCTAGTAAATAAAGATGTCGGACATCAGCAACGTTTTAATAACCTCTGGGCTTACGACAAACTGCAATGTCTCATCATAAAAACTTGTCAAGAGTTTTTTTCCCTCATTCTTATCAATGAATCAAAATAAATAAAACTAGAGATTTCTTGTTCTGGAGAATCTTAATTGTTAAGTTAATGATTGAATGAACTCAAATCTATCTGTCGATATTTGTTTCTATCGATATGTTTCTCTATCTATCAATCTTTCTATCTCAAGCTGTTTATAGCTATCTATCTCCATCAATCTATAGGTATCTCTCTCTCTCTCGATATATGTGACTATCGATATGTTTATCTATCTATCTATCTATCTATCTATCTATCTATCTATCTATCTATCTATCTATCTCACTTATTCTCTTTCTTTCTATCCATCTCTCTGTCTATCTATCTATCTATCTATCTCTCTGTCTATCTATCTATCTATCTATCTATCTATAAGGATGTTTATATCTATCTCCATATATATAAGGCTGTTTATATCTATCTCCATCAATCTATAGGTATCTATCTCTCTCAATATGTGTCTATTGATATGTTTCTATATCTATCTATCTATCTATCTATCTATCTATCTATCTATCTATCTATCTATCTCAGTCTCTTCATATCTATCTATCTATCTATCATCTATCTATCTATCTATCTATCTATCTATCTCAGGCTGTTTATATCTATCTATCTATCTATCTATCTATCTATCTATCTATCTATCTATCTATCTATCTATATCCCTTTATCTATACCTACCTATATCTGCTTCTGGGTACAAATGTAAATATTTGAAATTGACATTTTCTATTTCGCTGAAACAGTCAGTTAAACATTTCTGTCTTCCATTTTTTTCTCTTTTTTCTCTCTCTCTCTTTTTCTCTCTTTTTCTCTTCCCTTTTTCTCTCTACTTTTTTCTCTTTTCTTTCTCTCTCTCTTTTTCTCTCTTTTTCTCTTCCCTTTTTCTCTCTACTTTTTTCTCTTTTCTTTTTTCTCTCTTTTCTCTCTTTTTCTCTTTTTTTTCTCTCTTTTTTCTTTTTCTTTTCTCTCTCTTTTTCTCTCTTTTCTCTTTTTTCTCTCTTTTTCTTTTCTTTCTCTCTCTCTTTTTCTCTCTTTTTCTCTTCCCTTTTTTTCTCTACTTTTTCTTTTTCTTTTCTCTCTCTTTTCTCTCTTTTTCTCTTCCCTTTTTCTCTCTACTTTTTTCTCTTTTCTTTCTCTCTCTCTTTTTCTCTCTTTTTCTCTTCCCTTTTTCTCTCTACTTTTTTCTCTTTTCTTTCTCTCTCTCTTTTTCTCTCTTTTTCTCTTCCCTTTTTCTCTCTACTTTTTTCTCTTTTCTTTCTCTCTCTCTTTTTCTCTCTTTTTCTCTTCCCTTTTTCTCTCTACTTTTTTCTCTTTTCTTTCTCTCTCTCTTTTTCTCTCTTTTTCTCTTCCCTTTTTCTCTCTACTTTTTTTTTTTTTTTCTCTCTCTTTTCTCTCTTTCTCTTCCCTTTTCTCTCTACTTTTTCTCTTTTCTTTCTCTCTCTCTTTTCTCTCTTTTCTCTTCCTTTTCTCTCTACTTTTTCTCTTTTCTTTCTCTCTTTTTTCTCTTTTTCTCTTTTTCTCTCTACTTTTTCTCTTTTCTTTCTCTCTCTCTTTTTCTCTCTTTTTCTCTTCCCTTTTTCTCTCTACTTTTTTCTCTTTTCTTTCTCTCTTAATAAAAAAAACAATTAGAAATACCCGTAAAAATTTCACGATTTTCCTGTTTCAATGTTCTCATGAATCTTAATTCTTCAGTGAATGATTGAATAAGCACATGGCGAGTTCTACAACAATAAAATATCCATAGAAATTCCCTTAACGCATCGTTAAATTTTGAGTTTATTAACAACTTTAACAAAATATTGCAATAACAATTATAAATATGAAAGCTGATCGTTAATTTAAAATTATGTAGAAATGAAAAGATTTGAAATTGAAAACTTTGTTTCCTTAACGCATCGTTAAATTTTGAGTTTATTAACAACTTTAACAAAATATTGCAATAACAATTATAAATATGAAAGCTGATCGTTAATTTAAAAATTATGTAGAAATGAAAAGATTTGAAATTGAAAACTTTGTTTCCCTTAACGCATCATTAAATTTTGAGTTTATTAACAACTTTAACAAAATATTGCAATAACAATTATAAATATGAAAGCTGATCGTTAATTTAAAAATTATTAGAAATGAAAAGATTTGAAATTGAAAACTTTGTTTCCTTTAACGCATCGTTAAATTTTGAGTTTATTAACAACTTTAACAAAATATTGCAATAACAATTATAAATATGAAAGCTGATCGTTAATTTAAAATTATGTAGAAATGAAAAGATTTGAAATTGAAAACTTTGTTTCCCTTAACGCATCGTTAAATTTTGAGTTTATTAACAACTTTAACAAAATATTGCAATAACAATTATAAATATGAAAGCTGATCGTTAATTTAAAAATTATGTAGAAATGAAAAGATTTGAAATTGAAAACTTTGTTTCCCTTAACGCATCATTAAATTTTGAGTTTATTAACAACTTTAACAAAATATTGCAATAACAATTATAAATATGAAAGCTGATCGTTAATTTAAAAATTATGTAGAAATGAAAAGATTTGAAATTGAAAACTTTGTTTCCCTTAACGCATCGTTAAATTTTGAGTTTATTAACAACTTTAACAAAATATTGCAATAACAATTATAAATATGAAAGCTGATCGTTAATTTAAAAATTATGTAGAAATGAAAAGATTTGAAATTGAAAACTTTGTTTCCTTTAACGCATCGTTAAATTTTGAGTTTATTAACAACTTTAACAAAATATTGCAATAACAATTATAAATATGAAAGCTGATCGTTAATTTAAAAATTATGTAGAAATGAAAAGATTTGAAATTGAAAACTTTGTTTCCCTTAACGCATCGTTAAATTTTGAGTTTATTAACAACTTTAACAAAATATTGCAATAACAATTATAAATATGAAAGCTGATCGTTAATTTAAAATTATGTAGAAATGAAAAGATTTGAAATTGAAAACTTTGTTTCCCTTAACGCATCGTTAAATTTTGAGTTTATTAACAACTTTAACAAAATATTGCAATAACAATTATAAATATGAAAGCTGATCGTTAATTTAAAAAATTATGTAGAAATGAAAAGATTTGAAATTGAAAAACTTTGTTTCCCTTAACGCATCATTAAATTTTGAGTTTATTAACAACTTTAACAAAATATTGCAATAACAATTATAAATATGAAAGCTGATCGTTAATTTAAAAATTATGTAGAAATGAAAAGATTTGAAATTGAAAACTTTGTTTCCCTTTAACGCATCGTTAAATTTTGAGTTTATTAACAACTTTAACAAAATATTGCAATAACAATTATAAATATTAATCGTTAATTTAAAATTATGTAGAAATGAAAAGATTTGAAATTGAAAACTTTGTTTCCCTTAACGCATCATTAAATTTTGAGTTTATTAACAACTTTAACAAAATATTGCAATAACAATTATAAATATGAAAGCTGATCGTTAATTTAAAATTATGTAGAAATGAAAAGATTTGAAATTGAAAACTTTGTTTCCTTAACGCATCGTTAAATTTTGAGTTTATTAACAACTTTAACAAAATATTGCAATAACAATTATAAATATGAAAGCTGATCGTTAATTTAAAAATTATGTAGAAATGAAAAGATTTGAAATTGAAAACTTTGTTTCCCTTAACGCATCATTAAATTTTGAGTTTATTAACAACTTTAACAAAATATTGCAATAACAATTATAAATATGAAAGCTGATCGTTAATTTAAAAATTATGTAGAAATGAAAAGATTTGAAATTGAAAACTTTGTTTCCCTTAACGCATCGTTAAATTTTGAGTTTATTAACAACTTTAACAAAATATTGCAATAACAATTATAAATATGAAAGCTGATCGTTAATTTAAAAATTATGTAGAAATGAAAAGATTTGAAATTGAAAACTTTGTTTCCTTTAACGCATCGTTAAATTTTGAGTTTATTAACAACTTTAACAAAATATTGCAATAACAATTATAAATATGAAAGCTGATCGTTAATTTAAAAATTATGTAGAAATGAAAAGATTTGAAATTGAAAACTTTGTTTCCCTTAACGCATCGTTAAATTTTGAGTTTATTAACAACTTTAACAAAATATTGCAATAACAATTATAAATATGAAAGCTGATCGTTAATTTAAAAATTATGTAGAAATGAAAAGATTTGAAATTGAAAACTTTGTTTCCCTTAACGCATCGTTAAATTTTGAGTTTATTAACAACTTTAACAAAATATTGCAATAACAATTATAAATATGAAAGCTGATCGTTAATTTAAAAATTTGTAGAAATGAAAAGATTTGAAATTGAAAACTTTGTTTCCCTTAACGCATCATTAAATTTTGAGTTTATTAACAACTTTAACAAAATATTGCAATAACAATTATAAATATGAAAGCTGATCGTTAATTTAAAAATTATGTAGAAATGAAAAGATTTGAAATTGAAAACTTTGTTTCCTTAACGCATCGTTAAATTTTGAGTTTATTAACAACTTTCGTTAAAAATATTGCAATAACAATTATAAATATGTAAGCTGATCGTTAATTTAAAAATTATGTAGAAATGAAAAGATTTGAAATTGAAAACTTTGTTTCCCTTTAACGCATCATTAAATTTTGAGTTTATTAACAACTTTAACAAAATATTGCAATAACAATTATAAATATGAAAGCTGATCGTTAATTTAAAAATTATGTAGAAATGAAAAATTTGAAATTGAAAACTTTGTTTCCCCTTAACGCATCGTTAAATTTTGAGTTTATTAACAACTTTAACAAAATATTGCAATAACAATTATAAATATGAAAGCTGATCGTTAATTTAAAATTATGTAGAAATGAAAAGATTTGAAATTGAAAACTTTGTTTCCCTTAACGCATCATTAAATTTTGAGTTTATTAACAACTTTAACAAAATATTGCAATAACAATTATAAATATGAAAGCTGATCGTTAATTTAAAAATTATGTAGAAATGAAAAGATTTGAAATTGAAAAAACGCATCGTTAAATTTTGAGTTTATTAACAACTTTAACAAAAATATTGCAATAACAATTATAAATATGAAAGCTGATCGTTAATTTAAAAATTATGTAGAAATGAAAAGATTTGAAATTGAAAACTTTGTTTCCCTTAACGCATCGTTAAATTTTGAGTTTATTAACAACTTTAACAAAATATTGCAATAACAATTATAAATATGAAAGCTGATCGTTAATTTAAAAATTATGTAGAAATGAAAAGATTTGAAATTGAAAACTTTGTTTCCTTTAACGCATCGTTAAATTTTGAGTTTATTAACAACTTTAACAAAATATTGCAATAACAATTATAAATATGAAAGCTGATCGTTAATTTAAAATTATGTAGAAATGAAAAGATTTGAAATTGAAAACTTTGTTTCCCTTAACGCATCGTTAAATTTTGAGTTTATTAACAACTTTAACAAAATATTGCAATAACAATTATAAATATGAAAGCTGATCGTTAATTTAAAAATTATGTAGAAATGAAAAGATTTGAAATTGAAAAACTTTGTTTCCGTTTCACTGAAACAGACGTCAGATACTTCTATCTTTTCTTTGTTTCTCACTTAAACCAAATAGTGACTTTGACATGTATTTGTTTCTTTTTACGCAATCAAAACGGAATAGCCCTTAATTTATGAGGTTGTGGTATTATATTGATAGATATGGATGCATCATTTGTAGATGTCTTTTTATGGCTGCGTGAATAACATGACCGTCGTCGGCATCCGTCCGTCCCGGGTGACGATGGAGTAGCGCTTATTCATTTTTTCTTATTTTATTTTTTTTCCAAAAAGTTCTAAGCGATGGAGTTACTGTTAACCATGTTTGCCGTAATCTTTGAATATAGTATCCAGTGAAGTACGTAATGTGTTCAATATCAGAGGTTGGCAGTGAGGATATTTTGGAGAAAGTAGCAGCTGTTAAGCAATTCTTGAAGTCTTCGATATCAGATGTTGGGAGTGAAGATATTTTGGGAGAAAAAACAAAATGGCTGCCTTTATACACGTCGGATTGAATATTTTGAGCTTTCTGATTGGTTAACCCTTCTCTTGGTGGACTATAAAATGAGTCAGCTCATTTTGGTTGGCTCACGAGTACATGTATCCAAACAACTGTAACAGTTACATCGCCTCTGGTGTCTGTGTAGTCCCACTCTGGAGCGGCAGTCTCTCAGGCACTTGGCGCAGATGAAACTGGATGACACGGAGACGGGGGCTATCCTTGTTGATCTTCCCTCATAGCTTCGGCAACCGTGACGCCGTCACTGACTGTGGTTCTCCAAAGCTGACGATCGTAAGCCGCGACAACACAATAACATGACCACCCAATTTATATTTCATGTAGACTACACAAAACATGAAATACAAAAAGGAACAAAATTGTTTTAAAACAATAACATTTATATTTATTTTGTTCATTAATGTACATGCTTAGAAGTTAAAGATCTGTTGGAGTTATGTCCCTTAGACTGTGAATACTTTTATCTGAACTCACAAAAGTTGAATTAATTACAAAACTGAGAAATGCTTAATAACCTGTAGATTTAGAAGAATGTTTCAAAG